CGCCGTGTTATGTGTGTGTATCCCCCACTATATACCGCCGTGTTAGGTGTGTGTATATCCCCACTATATACACAGTACGTGTTAGATGGGGTGTTAGATATCATAGAGATATCCCCACTACATACACAGTACGGTTAGATAATAGGTGTTAGATATTATAGTGTGTGTATCCCCCACTATATACACGCCGTGTTAGGTGTGTATAGAGATATCCCCACTATATATCCCCACTATATACCGCCGTGTTAGTATTATACGTGTGTATCCCCACTACGGGGTACGGGGAGATATCCCCACTATATACAAAGTACGGTTACGGGGTACCCCACTATATACAAAGTACGGTTACGGGGTTATAGGTGTGTGTATCCCCCACTATATACACAGTACGGCAGAGATATCCCCACTACATACACAGTACGGTACGGGGTAATAGAGATATCCCCACTACATACACAGTACGGTATGGGGTTATAGAGATATCCCAACTACATACACAGTACGGGGTAATAGAGATATCCCCTCTTTATACACAGTACGGTACAGGGTAATAGAGATATCCCCACTATATACAAAGTACGGCACGGGGTAATAGAGATATCCCCACTACATACACAGTACGGTACGGGGTAATAGAGATATCCCCTCTACTGACACAGTACGGTACGAGATAATAGAGAGATCCCCACTACATACACAGTACGGTACGGGGTAATAGAATTATCCCCACTACATACACAGTACGGTACGGGGTAATAGAGATATCCCGGCAACTTACACAGTACGGTACGGGGTAATAGAGATATCCCCACTACATACACAGTACGGTACGGGGCAATAGAGATATCCCGGCAACTTACACAGTACGGTACGGGGTATTAGAGATATCCCCACTACATACACAGTACGGTACGGGGTAATAGAGATATCCCCACTACATACACAGTACGGTACGGGGTAATAGAGATATCCCCACTACTACACAGTACGGTACGGGGTAATAGAGATATCCCCACTACATACACAGTACGGTACGGGGTAATAGAGATATCCCCACTACATACACAGTACGGTACGGGGTAATAGAGATATCCCGGCAACTTACACAGTACGGTACGGGGTATTAGAGATATCCCCACTACATACACAGTACGGTACGGGGTAATAGAGATATCCCCTCTTTATACACAGTACGGTACGGGGTATTAGAGATATCCCTATTAAATACCTAGAGTACAGGTGATCTCCATTGGATTTTAATGTAAGTACTGTTTGGTTATCGAAGATATTCCCACACTATTCCTATACGGGTTAAAACAAGACCATTTATCGAATACAAGCTCCGACAAGGCAGTATAATGAAAGGTTAGACCTACCTGATAGTTGTTCTGTCCATGACTTCATACAATCCACTTCCTCCAAATGTTGTAGTCACATGAAACAAACTATACCGGACTCGGCTTTATCCTTGGTCTATTCAACAACGGTCACTACAGTTCCACTAGTCAAGCTCAGCAACAGTTATCATATGTAGTGTCTGGTGGTCCACACAACCATGTGTGGCTTCACTTCCTAGGTAGCTGACTGTAATCACTGGGACTTAGATTTACAAAGCATTTGACTTCGTTATTGGTGGTGTTTTGTCTGGATAAGCAGGTCAAGACTGGGCTGGTCCTCCTAGGATAACATTGGCGGTGTGGATCCCTTCAAGGAGACTTGGTGGTAGTGACATTCCAGCAGCCTTCGCGCTAACAAGCTTCCCAACACGACCGGCAATCGATCGAACGTAGAAATGCGAACAAAAGCATGTACCAATATTGAACCGCCCAGATGTGGCTGCTCCACGTCGATCGATAACCAGAGGGCCTCTTCCACAGTTAAATGACGGTTTTCGCTGTTCCATTTAATTTTAAAGAAATCCAATGTATCTATAGATATTGGTTCCAGAATAGAAATGGCCTCACGACAAATCAAAGGCAATGCATACAGTGACTACATGTTTCCAGGATTCTGTTCGTTTTCAAGAAAACAGATAAATTAAAGAAAGAATGGTAGCGTCAGCAGTGCTACATCGAATCCACAAACCGTTTTTCGTGGATATTTTGATGTCGCGAGGTAACAATTCAGAATTTTTTTTAGAAGTCTTTGATTCTTTTACAGAAGGGACTGTTCTTATTCGAAAACCTATACCTGTATATCGATTTTTAAGACAATTTAGGATTATTTTGGTCAAGTTAGTAATGAAAGCGAAAAGTGTGTCCGGGTTCTTTAAATGGACTGACAACAAGTGTTTTGCAAGGCAATGCAATAGCAAAAGTTCTGTCATTTCTGCAAATAATTATGTAATATTGGACATTAGATCATATTCAAAATAAAACACTTGTTTTCTGTACATGTGTATTACATAGCAAATTCGTGTTCGTGTAATCAAAGAAAGTGACGTCATCGGCCATGTGGTGGCCTTTCGACAGGTCGGAAAGAGAGCACATTCTGTAAATCTTGTGAAAATCAGATTTGAGAGAAAAAGAACATGTATTTGGAGATATGTGGGACATTTTCCGATGCCATCATGTATTTATATGTTAACAAAATATATAGAAAATATTCATACTCCTTTGTACCCAATACGGCTGAACGTGACTTAACAAATGCAGGAAATGACAAACATCTCCAATTTGCCAGCATTGAAGGGAAATGTTTTACCGTCTACGGTGGTCTTACTGTGTATTTTAGTGCTGTGTGGGAAACAATTGTAAAGTCAGAGATTCTCCCCAAACAGAGCCAAAGTTTCTATTTATTTATTTGAATCCCACTTGACATGTCATGATCTTTCCCCACAAATCAGTTTCCTAGATCCAGTTAACATTATCAGTGACAATTTACTCGGTTTGATAATAATAATACTAAATTTATTCAGGACAAATATGTACAGATTTGTATATATCTTTAACGTATCAGCTAGTTATCATTATTAATAAAGACAAAAGTACATATATCCTAGGATTTCCAAAAAAAAAGCGGTAAAACGCTTATTTTCATTGGGGTCCTTAAAATGGATTTACAAATGTATTTCCCTCAATAATATACATAATAACTATCATGATTCTCTTGCATTTTGTTTTGAAAGTGACGTTTCACTTGGGTTTTGAACTTTTGAACTTTTAAGCTTTTTTGATAAACTTTTAATATAATCTATATGGAAGATTTTGAATTCCATTCTTTTGTGCCTGTAAAGTAGAATGTTGTAGATTCTTTACCTGTGCCTATTTTGAACATTCAAAATAAACCTTTTTACTTTGTTTTGTGCTACCTGTAATTTATATCTTAGTTTTTTGACAACTCTTCATACCAACCAGCACACGCATAGTCGAAATGACAAAGAATCAATGCCGACCAAAGAGTTTTTCTCGATCTATACGATAGACATTGCTCATTTTTGTAGAGAAATTTTAGTCGCTGATCTACTTTTTTATCAATTGAATCTACTATTTCTTCACCTGATAGCAAATCGATAACGTCTATACCAAGATATTTTATACACTTCATAACTTCAATGCCATGTTTATTGGACAATATTTTAAAATTCATAGTGTAACTTTATCCAATTTTCTTTTTGGGCCAAAAATACTTATATTTATATAATAAGGTATGTTCGGCGAGAGTGCGTCCTTTCGTTAATTAATTGAAGTAAATTGTATAATGCACTGTAATATAGTATATCTGTACATTACAAGTTATCGTATTACATGATGCCAATCAAGCCATCTTAACATTTCTTCCAACTGCGATGTCTTGTGTGTCACCTATCTAAGTAATATTATATATTATCTTATATGTTTTAAAAGTAAAATACCTTATATCGCCAAATAATATATTATATCTTGTATTATACATGCTATATGAGATATATTATACGGAAGTTAACTAATGTATATTAAAGGTATTTTGTTGAATATCTGTTTAAGATGTTTTATAGAATAGAGATGTCTTACATTTTGTATATCGTATATGAAATATGTTGTATAACTGAAATCTCGTTTCTGTATGACATATATTACGTGGAATGATATCTCGAGGCACTAGAAAGGAAAACTGAAGCCAAGAAACATTTGAAGCGATTAGGAATATCCGCTCAATTTCGAGAAAAAATATACTGGTTCGTCAGAACGTATTATTGGTCATATAGAACCATAAACGAAGCCCTCTTTCAAAGTGTTGGTACACTACCATCATACTTTCAACTACCTTGTGACAGTGCTCGAGAAGTTTTATAGTTTGACACAATTTCGTATTTTATATAAGACCAGGGACGTATAATACAGATCTGTATTATACGTCACTGATAAGATTAGATTCAACATTATATGAGATATCTCATAGTATCTTTCATAAAAATATTCTCTATAGAAAATTAATAGATAAATCTTATATGATATTTTGAATGATACATAGTATATTTATAGCACATAAGATATCTGATCCATGTGATGTATTTTAATTCCTTATGTGATATGTAATTGGACGCTACTGATGCTCGTTAGTTTAGGCCTACCTCTTGATTCCATCGTTGTTTACCGTGTACCCATTAGGGAACGTGACATAGGGCTAACGTTACATGTAACTTACTGGGATTGACCATGATCTACACGACGGGTATCGTCAATGAAGCAGAAGGCGCGTAAGCTTCCAAAGCACATGGTCGTATTCCCGTTGTCCTTTTTCAGAAGTCTCCATATAAATCTTTCTTTTAGTGATAATTCCCCTAGTTTTATTGAATTTGTCGAGTTGGGATTATGATACTGAAGACAGGTTGTTTTTTGTTGTATATGACAAGCCATCTTAACATTTTGATGCCAAGATTTTGCCAAAGTAAGAACGTTGTCCCTTGCAATTATCATATACAATGTGAAGGGAGGTAACTAGTAGTTTAAAATGAACTTGCGAAAGAAAGTCCATGCGAATGCGCCCTCCGTATTCACACTTCCGGATAATAGTGACTGTCAAAACAAATCTCTAGAAAAATCTTCAGTTACGTGGGACAAGCTGACGGAAACAGTGGCGAGGGTTTCGTTCCAAGTTTTACAGAAATCACACAATTGTAATGGCATCTTACTTTGATGAGCATGATTGTGAGCCGTTAAAAGACGGAGAACAACCAAATCACATGTTACACATGGCGAGGTAGGCCTAATGATCACTGATCAGCTGATGAGACCTGTGACGGGGTTACACAATGTGACCAGAACAGTAAGTCAGCTGATGATACCTGTGACTGTGGGTAACACAATGTGACCACAACAGTAAGTCAGCTGAAGATACCTGTGACTGGGTTAGCACAATGTGACCTGAACATAAAATCAGCTGATGATATCGGTGACTGGGATTAACACAATGTGACAAGAACAATAAGTCAGCTGATGATACAAATGTACCTGTGACTGTGGGTAACGCAATGTGACTAGAACATAAAGTCAGCTAATGATACGTGTGACTGTGGGTAACACAATGTGACCAGAACAGTAAGTCAGCTGATGATACCTGTGACTGGATTAACACAATGTGACCTGAACATAAAATCAGCTGATGATACCTGTGAGGGGGGGATAACTCAATGTGACAAGAACATAAAGTCAGCTGATGAGACCTGTGACTGGGGGTAACACAATATGACTAGAACAAATAGATACCTGTAACTAACAGGTGAAAATGATCGGATGGCAAAGAGCTGATACTCAACTGAGGTAGCATGCTTCTTTGGCCCAGTTGGTATGGCTGTTGATTGTCATGCTAGAGACCTGGGTTCAATTCTGGACGGGAATGTATTTTTCCCATTCTTAATAAACAACAGGAATTGGACCAGGTCTCCACCCTGAATATCCACACGGTGACACCTTCCCTAACTACTTAAGGAGAATGATAATGATTACCTGAGTAACAGATTGTATTTAACACTATGTACATTACAAGCCACTCTAAGATATTTGTTTTACAATATCTGTCTATATGTATATATGATCCCTACTTTTTAGTTTTTATTACAATTTAAGTAAGTTTACTTATTGTGTTTCAGATTACTGCTGGACAGTGGACTAGCAGCTGAATGGGATCTAGAATATGGCAGGTAACTTAAAAGGGAGAATGATATAACATCAACAGATATCAAAACTTTAAGTATGCTTGGACATTGACAGACCAAAACCTCTTAAAGTTTATTTCATTGTCATGAAGTTTTATTTTTTCAAGAAGCTCCAGATTTCTTTTTAAGTTCATTTAATTTTCAAAATGTACTTATATTAGAAAGGATTTTTAAATAGTTGAATTTAAAGAAGAGAGTTGGGAGAGTTGAGGCATCCAATGCAATGATCAGTATGAATTACAAAGGAGAGCTGGTTCTATGTTATGCAAATGTACATTTATATTGACACAGAATTTTTGGAGGAGATGGCAAAACTCCACCTGCATCAAAGAAAATTGTGGAATCACTGCCTACGCATATAGTGACACCTACAGAGGCAGGTAAGCCAAGGTGACAAACCTCTAATAGTTCACATACTGCAGTCACGCCTGTTAAAAAAACCCAGGAAAGTAATTTGCTTGGTATAAACATCAATATTTCTGGCAAGAATGTAGTATAATCAGAAGCAAGATTGAGGCAAGGTAATCAAATTTCTGAGTTCCTCACTTGTGGCAGATACATTTTGGGTAGCATAGGTCAGATCCAGGCCTCAAATTTAAGGCTTTTAACTAGCTATTTGCAAGTAGAAATCCAAGAACTGCAAGTAGAAAAAATAATGACTTGCATTTTTCAGCAAGTGGATTCATCAGATGCAAACTGTGAGTGCCTGTCTATTCCTAACATTTCACAGAATTAAATTGTTTTGAGTTTTGATTTTCAAAGTGTAAATATTTGGACAAAGCAGTTCTTCTATAATGTTGATATATATTGGATGAAGCAAGGTAATACGTTATAAATCACAAAACAAAACACATTATTTGAACATGGAGATTTACGATAATAGCAAGTGAAAAGTCATTTTAACAAGTACAAATTTAAGGCACTTGCTGTTTTCAGCAAGTGACAAAAAAAGTTAAATTTGAGACCTGAGATCTACCAAAAAGTCATACCCAGCTGATTGTCTAAATTAAATACAAGCACCATTGTATAATAATGGTGGCCGAATTGAGAACATGGAGTCCTGAGAGTTACCTTTGACATATAGAGGATAAGTTAGTATCCATTAGGAAAATCCCATAAACCCATTATGTGTATTTTTATTGTTGTGTTTTAGCCCTTGAACGGAAATGTCCTGTGTGCTTGGGTCTGTTTGATGAGGAAGACGAAGTTAAAGAAATACCATGCAGTCACAAGTTCCACTCCAAGTGTATACTGCCCTGGCTAGATAAGGTGACATTTTTATACAGCCCAACATTTCTGTACCTGTGATAGATCAACTAATCAACTTATTGTTTCTGATTGCAAATAACATAATCATTATCAGTTTTCAATCAACCAAAACTTTTAAGACATAAAGTTCGATGAGATACACTGATAATACTTTCAGATAGGTGAGTTATGGTACAATAACTGGATGATATCAGTAAATATATAATTACAGGTAAACAGTTGTCCTATGTGTCGTCATGAATTGCCTACAGATGATCCTGATTATGAAGCATACAAAAAACACAAGGTAAGTTTACTTATCTAGACTTCTAACGTCCCTTCCCATCTTCTGCTTCTCACAATCTACCTGGTTTCTTTATCTTGCTCAAAATAAGTTAGGATTCCAAACAATGATATATAAATAACAATTTAAACACTGCTTGAGATCCAAATGCAAGGGGCTGCAATAGCTCAATGAGTTAGAGCATTGACTTCTGTAGTCTCGGATAAAGAACTGAGGTGTGTGATTTGACACTCAATACTGATAGCGGCTTGTGCTTCACAGGTGGCTGAAAAATGGGCTTGTCTATGCATTCATGTTTATGTCCTTGGGCAAGACACTTTACCCTAATATCCACTGGATGACATGTGATGAGCCTCTCCTATGTTGTTTAGTGAGGTAGCCACCAGCTACTACAAGAAGACAACTGCCTCAACATGCAGTGATCTGAGCCATGTAGATTTTTTTACAGTTGCTTTAAAGATCTTGACAACATTAATCCACAAATACCAGAACACAGACAAGATTTTTGATGGCAATAATTCTTCATGTTATGCCTCAAGATAATTTTTTGGTAAAAGATCAACAGTGTCAATAATTTGAGAGTTATAGAAGGATAGGACTCTGATAGGTAAACATTTGATAGGCAACCCTATTCCTTCCACATCTACATCTTTTTCTTTTCAAAAATTTAAAGGCTATCTTCCTGTAATCTTTTTCAAAAGATTTTCGTTCAAGTTTATAAAAATCTAAATCTCTTTGAATAGCAGCCAATTATTTTGAAGAACATATTTCAAGACATTTTATCAGAACTGAAAATTAATTTCATGGTCTTATTAAGAAAAAGTTTTTTATTCTGAAAATACATTTTTTCTCAAAATTTCTTAATTTTAGAAGATGATTTATAACCAGCAATTTGACTAAATACATGAGAAGCATCATTACATTATGAGGATGGTCCTATAAAGAAAAGGGGAGTCCTTCAAGGTTTTTCTTTGACTTATATAGGATATGGTAATATTCATTAGAAAAGTCCGATAGGTCCATTGTGTAAAATGCATTTAAACCAATATTATCAAGTGATTTGTTTTTTGTTTTAAGAAATCATGAAAGTAATTAAAATGTCTACATATACTAACCAGATAGGAAGATGTATTCTGTCAGCATCAACTTTAATTGTCCAGTATGTATTTCTGTTAATGGTAAGTATGATGTTTCGGATATTTTGAGAAAATCCCAAAATTTGTTTTCTGATATTTTTCAGGCCAGAGCAAAACAACGAGAATATGAAATGGAAGAGCTGCATAATTCCATGTTTGGATAAGATTATCACAGGGCTGAAGAAATGAGATTTAGAGGGAACTTGGTGGAAAATGATGGATGTTTTTGTCACGAAACCTTATTGGATATCTTGGTTGTTACACAGTCTGCAATGCTGAATGGAACACTTGAGTTGACACAAACTTGAATGTTTTCTTTGAGGAAAATGTCTGGTACTGTTTCAGTCTTGGGTCAAAATTTTGTAATGATGGACAGAAATTAGTTTACAAGCCAAGATATTCTTCAGAAAATGAGGATAGGTGCACATCCTTACAGTGACAGATGAACTTTGATAAGTGTGATTGTGTAAGGTGAAAGGACGTTATTTATTTATTCTCTATTAGAAATGCTGTTGATCTTTTTTTGTTAACATCAGGATTTAATCATTTTTCGATGCAGTCTGGTATTTACCTATTATCCTCAAAATAACTTTATCAAGAGCAGAAACAAACATTCCCAGTATCAAAAAATATGGACAGGATAGAATTATAATCATGGACAGGATAGGGTTATAATCATGGACAGGATAGGGTTATAATCATGGACAGGATAGGATTATAATCATGAACGAGATAGAGTTATAATCATGGAGAGGTATTTCTGTTCATTAAAATCAGATATCCCTGGAGTTAAAAGGAAATCTGCAGATAAATAGTTGTAGGTTGTGAATATTTTATTGCAAATAAAATGTTTTATCTGTCTATTCATGAATGTGTCTCATGGTTTTATTTTCTCTATTATGTGTCTCTCCTTGAGGCAGTGACACTGTATCGAATTGAGCTGGATTTACATTGCATGTTTCGTCCTAAAGCTAATGACATTTGCCCTGCCAGAATACATTTCCTCATCTTTTACCCTAAATAAATGTAATTTTTTATGAAAGATTTGACTCAATTGTTCAGGGACAAGATATTACAGTAAGATTGATGGAGTTGTACTTTTTATACGCTCGTCAAAAGACATAGACATAGGTTTCCTTGTCTGGGCCATAACTTTGCGAGTTCAGTCTATTATCACCATACTTCATACACATTTATATCTCAAGGTGACAAAGTGTCGCGTATAAAAATTGCCCACCTCGCATGCATAGTTTCCGAGTTATTCCCCCTTAGTTGATTTTTCGTAGACTTCCTTTGTCCATGCTCTCTGGTTTACGTTTATGTCATTGAACCCATGTACATGTTTTTGTTGAATAGTTTTGGATGGGCGTATATTGTTCCGCCCTATGGTACTCTTGTTCTGATTAGTTTTAATAAGGAGGAGGGAAGGTTCTCAATACAGGACAAGTGTTAATCTCTGAAACAGTTGAGATCTCCATATAACCATATATAGCAAAGATAGGCATCAAGAGCTGAACATATTCATGATGTAAGAACTGGCCTTTGAGTGTGACTCCGTCCCTCTGTACTTAATTTCTGGGTTATGTCTTTGAAAACATATATCATGATGGGCATCAAGAGATAAACACAATCATGAAGTAGGAACTGGCTCTTGGGTCTGGCTCCACCCCTTGAGACAAAGTTTCTGGGTTATATCTGTGAAGCAGTTCAGATCTCCACAACAAAACCATAGATAACATGCAGGGACACAGCAGCACCACAGCAACATTTGCAGTTTAATTTTAGAGCATTAATCTTTTTGAAAATGTTCAATTTTTTTGTTTGATAAAAATCATTTCAAAAACATCAGGTAAATGCATTGAAATCTAGTAAATTATAGGTGTTCAGTCTTATTCAGGTGCTATCTTGATATCTCCCCTCTGGACAACATACACAACTGTGAAGGTAGCCCTGAGATCATTTTTGTATACAGCAAAGAAAGAACATAATACAAATCCTTGGGATGTACCAGAGGTCATTTGGAGTCCAGCTTGATTGTTCTGGTCAATTACATTTAGCTGAACAAGGTTCGAATTTCATGTAGATGTCTGATTGAGAATTTCTTAACTTCATATGTAGGATGTATACATATATATATGTTACAGGTTGGCTATATCATGTTCAAATAAAGACACAAAACCTATAGAGAGTTCTGACCATAGTTTACTGTCGAACTGAAAGAGTATGAACTCTGTGAATATACAAAAATAAAACAACACAACTACACACCACATCAACATCAGACAAATATGACTAAAAACATATTAGTATGGAACATCATCATCATTTAAATAAAATATAAGATAATTGATTACTAGCAAGTAACTCTATACAATATAGTTATATCACTATGAACTATGTCCAGGTAAGTACCGACATACAGTTTATTGAATGAATAATAGATACAATACAGGTATGAACAGTGTATTTATAATAAATACATTATGTATAAATAAACTGGCTAAATTACCTGTGTGTGGCACAAAGTTCGTCTACATTTTGATATTGACGATGGTTAGTTAAAGTCTGCAAATTACAAATGAAACATATAACTTATGAATACAAATGAATAGACTGTAATTCTGATGAAAATATCAGAATATATATTTAGATAAATGACATTCAAGCAGATCCAGATAGATTAATTTGAAATCATGCAACATCATTAAGATATGAAAATACAGGTAAGTATAACAATTGGTGGGAGTGTGGTAGGCATTAAAACAAATATAAAATTACTTCACTGGTTCGCAGGTATTTCACGATTACTGTTACCAAAGCGTCCGATCCATCGGTCGGTCAGTCAAACAATGGCCGGAACTTACAAAACAGCATGAAATCAAAAGAACCAATAAAATAAGGCATAAGACTGTGACATAGGACAAAATTTAACTGACCAATGACCACACGACACTTTATAAAAAAGTGATGATGAGAATAACCACTTAAGTATACAAATGACTTATTAACACAATACAGTATAGATGTAAGCTAATAAACAAGATTTAACAATTACGGAGACAATATAATTCACATTATATTAAAATCGACCTTGCCACATTTAGTTGAAACATTATTTCATTCAATATTTAACAATTTAACATATACATATGACATTTGTGGGATTGTAAAGAAATTTTAGAACTTAAGCTTTCTGAAACTCTATGTTTTTAGATTTTCAACCATTTTCAGCAATTTCTACCACAGTTATAGGCCTTTCTTGATTTAGAAACCATGTAAAATTTGGTTACCGCACCATAATTATAGAATGCCGCAATAGAATTAAATAATAGTTTGTTTGTATGTTGAAAGGACACGTCAAAATTTGTATCTACTTACAGACCAGACATTGTGTATGGAGATATGAACATAGATATTCATACATCTGCCTGTGAAATATTAAGAGAAAGTTTACCAGACTATGCACAAGTAAAATCACCAAATCACATCAGTGGATGAACATTAGACAAAGTAACTGTAAAATAGACTATCCGATACCTGAAAATGAAGTCTTCCCCTCATACCTTACAGACCATACCTCAGTGTATCTTGCATACCAACAGTCACAATTGCTGCACAGTTTAAAACAAGTATAAGTTTTTAATTTCCATAATACACTGGACTTGTGTTTTCATGTTGCTTTAACTCCTTGTTTTTAAAAGTCTGTATTAGGTTTCTTCTACTGCTGTCAGTGGTGTTTCCCTACACTCTTTTGGTATCAACTTAAATCCTGAAAAATATTCCATAATGTGGGACATCCATGTCCAATGAACACTGACAAAAAGGAGATAAAAATTGTTGTGGAGAGATATTATCAGGTGAAAATGTGATTATAATTTCTTGCAGAGAGGACATGTCTTCATAATAAAAACCCTTTAAACATTTGTTCTCCATATATGTTGTGTACTCTGATAACCATTAACAGAGTTATGTTCCTCATTGTAGCCCTTGAAAATCAGCTTTCAGTCACCATACTCAAAAGCAGGGACGTAGATATCTTACATCCCTGTTAAAAGCAAGGATTTTAATAAAAACAATTCCACAATTTTTTATTTCTTTTTCAAATGAATATTTTTCTGATAAAAATCTCGTGGCGTGTGATTATATGGTAACCAGTTCAATTTCTGAAAACAAAATTATTTGAACAATAGATATTTTCACTGAGTTAACCCCCTGTGAATGAAACGGATTGGAGCCTAAGTGGTCTGAACTTCGTGTCCACCTCTGTATAAACTTGTTTGAAAATTTATTTTCTTTTACCAAAGTGATTTTTTATTTATTTCAACTGTTTTCTCGATGAACATTATCTCATCAACCAATACATACCTACTCGGTAATTTTTAAAATAACTAATAGAACTTTTCTAAGAGGAATTAACCCAGTATTATATGACATAAAAATAACACGTCATCAAAGGACACAATTTTAAGGCCATTCTCTTAAAATATGATTGTTAAAAGTTTCAATTTCCTCCATTTCGGTAAATTCAAATCCATTTCGGTAGAAAAAAAACCCAACCGCGTTAATACGCTAGTGATTGTTTCTATTACGTGCGCACAACATAGTTACTAAAAAAACACTCATCTTTTATCACGTGCTGATGCAATAGAAAGAAAAAAAAATATATATATATATACACTTAATGTTCTCTCTAAACATTCGTAATTAACCGTGAACCTTGTCGACTTTCGCATATTTTGTGAGGCTTCGAAATTATGTCAGTCTACTTTCATTTCGTAATCACGTGGGAGCAATGTAGCCGGAAGTGGTCCTACACAACATGTACAGTTGGCAAGATGATAGCTGACTACAGCGCTACAGTCCAGACAATTCTGGGAACTTTGTTAACATGGGGACTCACAGCAGCCGGAGCAGGGTTGGTGTTTGTGTTTCAGAGCAATCAGGTATGTCGTTGTGTCTGAAATCGTAACAGGTGTGGATGCTGTACAGGTGTGTTAACAATACACTACGTATCCTGTTCTATTGAATAATGCCACGGACACCTAATCGATCAATATTTGCCCTTTTGTTATGAGTTTGACACGTAAGTTTGGTTAATCTAAATAGGTTGTGAAAACTGGAGTAAATTATGGCAGATATCTCAAAAAATATATGCAGCCCTTTACGCATAGCAAATCCCTTAATTAGCAGCATATGTATTTATAATTTTCTTGTTACTTGGCAGCAGTACATAAAACCCAGAAACTTTGACAGCTCTATGAGAAATCTGAGCATTTAGTAAAGTGATGCAAGTAGGGACATTACTCAAACTCACTCTTTATCTCATACGAAACTGCCACATACATGTAACCAGGGACCTGATGTAACTTACAAATAGTAAAAAGATAAACAAATCTATTTATTCTATCAACTCTCAACTGCTTGTAAGGGGTTTTGATGGAATGCCACGCTGTGCAGATCTGTCGAATATTTATCATATAATCAGCTGAATAATTTATCATTACCCTGTAGTCAACTAAATGTCTTATTTATCATTACAGGGCTGTGAGGCAAACAGCCTTGACCTACTTTTGTATTATTTTAGTACAAATACATATTGTGCTTGTATACAATGTATGTAAATACTTAACATGACAAATTCACAGGGATCTAGATATGCTGATATGTTTTTACAGAAGTAGGACCAGTAAAAGTGAAATGTTTTATCATCTGATTAGATACATGTACAATAAATTATAATTGTATCTTCTATTTTCACTTTCCTTTTCTAGGTTCTACTCTCGACTTAAGTGTCAACATTAGTGTCTTTACTAAATAAAAGTTAATAAAATGTAAAAGTTTGTAGAACGAGAATGAATGTTGTGTGCTGCCACCAGAGATTGAGATACAAACTTCCCCTCTTCCAATTAAAACATTGTTGCCATTCTTTTCATTCTTATATCTTTTTATAAACTGTATATGGGTTCTTTTGTGTGATCAATGTGTAATTGTGTTTCATGCTTTGATGTTTTTAGATTAAGTCACCAGGGCACAATTACAACTCAGTTGTTTTTTGTCTCTTAGTCAGTCTTATAAGTTTTTGTTTGTTACAGAGGAAGGTGTTAGATGCCAGCCTTGGTTTTGCTGCTGGGGTAAGTATTTATGTTGTGACATAATCAATTATTATCAAAAATCATTACATACAGAGTTCTAATTCTATAATCAATAGTATCGTAAAAAGATAAGACCCCAGTGTGACCAGTAATTATGTTTACCATTAGATAAGACCCGTGTGACCAGTAATTATGTTTACCATTAGATAAGACCCCAGTGTGACTAGTAATTATGTTTACCATTAGATAAGACCCCGGTCTGACCAGTAATTATGTTTACCATTAGATAAGACCCCAGTGTGACAAGTAATTGTGTTTACCATTAGATAAGACCCCAATGTGACCAATAATTATGTTTACCATTAGATAAGACCCCAGTGTGACAAGTAATTATGTTTACCATTAGATAATACCCCAGTGTGACCAGTAATTATGTTTACCATTAGATAAGACCCCAGTGTGACCAGTAATTATGTTTACCATTAGATAAGACCCCAGTGTGACCAGTAATTATGTTTACCATTAGATAAGACCCCAGTGTGACCAGTAATTATGTTTACCATTAGATAATACCCCAGTGTGACAAGTAATTATGTTTACCATTAGATAAGACCCCAGTGTGACCTGAATTATAATTACCATTAGATAAGACCCTAGTGTGACCAGTAATTATGTTTACCATTAGATAAGACCCCAGTGTGACCAGTAATTATGTTTACCATTAGATAAGACCCCAGTGTGACCAGTGATTGTGTTTACCATTAGATAAGACCCCAGTGTCACCAGTAATTATGTTTACCATTAGATAAGACCCCAGTGTGACAAGTAATTATGTTTACCATTAGATAATACCCCAGTGTGACCAGTAATTATGTTTACCATTAGATAAGACCCCAGTGTGACAAGTAATTATGTTTACCATTAGATAAGACCCCAGTGTGACCAGTAATTATGTTTACCATTAGATAATACCCCAGTGTGACAAGTAATTATGTTTACCATTAGATAAGACCCCAGTGTGACCTGAATTATGTTTACCATTAGATAAGACCCTAGTGTGACCAGTAATTATGTTTACCATTAGATAAGACCCCAGTGTGACCAGTAATTATGTTTACCATTAGATAAGACCCCAGTGTGACCAGTAATTGTGTTTACCATTAGATAAGACCCCAGTGTGACCAGTAATTATGTTTACCATTAGATAAGACCCCAGTGTGACAAGTAATTATGTTTACCATTAGATAAGACCCCAGTGTGACCAGTAATTATGTTTACCATTAGATAAGACCCCAGTGTGACAAGTAATTATGTTTACCATTAGATAAGACCCCAGTGTGACCAGTAATTATGTTTACCATTAGATAAGACCCCAGTGTGACCAGCAATTATTCTGTTTCATTCCAGGTAATGACTGCAGCATCCTACTGGTCACTTTTGGCCCCAGCCATAGAAATGGCTGAGCGTTCTGGTCTTTATGGTGAACATGGACAGTGGGCCTTTCTCCCTGTTAGTATAGGGTTTATACTGGGAGCCCTATTTGTGTATGGTGCAGACATCCTCATGCCATATTTAGTAAGTAATATTCTGTAAAATTGACTGACACTGCCTCTAGTCTCATGGTCCTGGTATATTGCTAAAGAATTTTGTTCAAGGATGCTTATAATTCTGTGTAAATTAGGGGAAATCTTTAGTTATATCTGTTGTTGAATATATACAAATGTACTTAATTTGTGTGTGATTCAGGGAATGTAATGTTATTGTGGGACAGTATAGACTATTTTTTGTTATTACAGGGAATGTAATGTCACTGTAGGACAGTATAGACTTTTTGTGTGTACAGGGAATGTAATGTCACTGTGGGACAGTATAGACTTTTTGTGTGTTACAGGGAATGTAATGTCACTGTGGGACAGTATAGACATTTTGTGTGTTACAGGGAATGTAATGTCACTGTGGGACAGTATAGACATTTTGTGTGTTACAGGGAATGTAATGTCACTGTGGGACAGTATAGACATTTTGTGTGTTACAGGGAATGTAATGTCACTGTAGGACAGTATAGACATTTTGTGTGTTACAGGGAATGTAATGTCACTGTGGGACAGTATAGACTTTTTGTGTGTTACAGGGAATGTAATGTCACTGTGGGACAGTATAGACATTTTGTGTGTTACAGGGAATGTAATGTCACTGTGGGACAGTATAGACATTTTGTGTGTTACAGGGAATGTAATGTCACTCTGGGACAGTATAGACATTTTGTGTGTTACAGGGAATGTAATGTCACTGTGGGACAGTATAGACTTTTTGTTGTTACAGGGAATGTAATGTCACTGTAGGACAGTATAGACATTTTGTGTGTTGCAGGGAATGTAATGTCACTGTGGGACAGTATAGACATTTTGTGTGTTACAGGGAATGTAATGTCACTGTGGGACAGTATAGGCATTTTGTGTGTTACAGGGAATGTAATGTCACTGTAGGACAGTATAGACTTTTTGTGTGTTACAGGGAATGTAATGTCACTGTGGGACAGTATAGACATTTTGTGTGTTACAGGGAATGTAATGTCACTGTGGGACAGTATAGACATTTTGTGTGATACAGGGAATGTAATGTCACTGTAGGACAGTATAGACATTTTGTGTGTTACAGGGAATGTAATGTCACTGTGGGACAGTATAGACATTTTGTGTGTTACAGGGAATGTAATGTCACTGTGGGACAGTATAGACATTTTGTGTGTTACAGGGAATGTAATGTCACTGTGGGACAGTATAGACATTTTGTGTGTTACAGGGAATGTAATGTCACTGTGGGACAGTATAGACATTTTGTGTGTTACAGGGAATGTAATGTCACTGTGGGACAGTATAGACTTTTTGTGTGTTACAGAGAATGTAATGTCACTGTGGGACAGTATAGACATTTTGTGTGTTACAGGGAATGTAATGTCACTGTGGGACAGTATAGACATTTGGTGTGTTACAGGGAATGTAATGTCACTCTGGGACAGTATAGACATTTTGTGTGTTACAGGGAATGTAATGTCACTGTGGGACAGTATAGACTTTTTGTTGTTACAGGGAATGTAATGTCACTGTAGGACAGTATAGACATTTTGTGTGTTGCAGGGAAGGTAATGTCACTGTGGGACAGTATAGACATTTTGTGTGTTACAGGGAATGTAATGTCACTGTGGGACAGTATAGACATTTTGTGTGTTACAGGGAATGTAATGTCACTGTAGGACAGTATAGACTTTTTGTGTGTTACAGGGAATGTAATGTCACTGTGGGACAGTATAGACATTTTGTGTGTTACAGGGAATGTAATGTCACTGTGGGACAGTATAGACATTTTGTGTGATACAGGGAATGTAATGTCACTGTAGGACAGTATAGACATTTTGTGTGTTACAGGGAATGTAATGTCACTGTGGGACAGTATAGACATTTTGTGTGTTACAGGGAATGTAATGTCACTGTGGGACAGTATAGACATTTTGTGTGTTACAGGGAATGTAATGTCACTGTGGGACAGTATAGACTTTTTGTTGTTACAGGGAATGTAATGTCACTGTGGGACAGTATAGACATTTTGTGTGTTACAGGGAATGTAATGTCACTGTGGGACAGTATAGACATTTTGTGTGTTACAGGGAATGTAATGTCACTGTAGGACAGTATAGACATTTTGTGTGTTACAGGGAATGTAATGTCACTGTGGGACAGTATAGACTTTTTGTTGTTACAGGGAATGTAATGTCACTGTGGGACAGTATAGACTTTTTGTTGTTACAGGGAATGTAATGTCACTGTGGGACAGTATAGACTTTTTGTTGTTACAGGGAATGTAATGTCACTGTGGGACAGTATAGACATTTTGTGTGTTACAGGGAATGTAATGTCACTCTGGGACAGTATAGACATTTTGTGTGTTACAGGGAATGTAATGTCACTGTGGGACAGTATAGACTTTTTGTTGTTACAGGGAATGTAATGTCACTGTAGGACAGTATAGACATTTTGTTGTTACAGGGAATGTAATGTCACTGTGGGACAGTATAGACATTTTGTGTGTTACAGGGAATGTAATGTCACTGTGGGACAGTAAAGACTTTTTGTTTGTTACAGGGAATACAATGCTACTTTGAGTAAGCATAGCCATTTTTGTGTGTTTCAGGGAGTCAACAGCTCCAACCTAATTGTGACAATTGAATCAGCTTCATCCAAAGTAGAGAAGGAGGATAATGTACATATAGATTTTAACCAAACAAATTACAATTCTAGTAAGTATAAATACGCTTCCTTCGTACGTAATTGGTGATATTTCAGTAATTACAGATTCACTTCCTTCTTATTTGGGTGGTGAACTATACACTTTAGAGGTGTAACGATTCACCAGTGCATCGTGTCAAGAGGTGATGCATGGATGCATTGTCCGTCCTTTGCTCTCCAGGTTAGCAAAATTCTACCATTGTGTTTCGGGGACATCTGTTCCAAGTGAATATTTTTTCCTGTGTGGGAGACATCATTACAACTCGGAGGAGCACACTGAAATCTAAACATGTGGACACTCTGACTTTTTTTAAAAAACAACCTGAAATGAATAAACAGTGTCAAATGTTTTATTCAGTTATAATTATTTTATATTCATTTCACAAATAATATTCAAATCAAAAGGTGGCATCCAGTTACAGAAATCACTTTTTTAGTGATGAAATGTTTGTTGTCAGATAATTTCTCTGATATATCGCAATACGAATAGTATAATGACCCATGTTTCATGATACATATCAACAGTGCACGTCTCTAATACACTTGTATGTAGATTGTGAAGCATAGGTATTTTTGTATGGAGCTGATGAAATATATATATACTTCATATGTCTACTTCATAATTTCGTTGTAAAATATATCCCTTTTGCATGGTACTTTAGTGTAACTGAAAAAGATGGAAACATTGAAATGAACAACCTTTAGAGAATCAGAATTTTCTTCCCTGTTTGGGTGTTGTATGAAAGCAGTGATCATGATAGATCACTTTAAACCTTCCCAGTCATCGCTGTTTCCTAATCTCATGTTCACGAAGTCATTCCAGGCTGCTCTTACAAATTTTCTCCCCTTGACATCTGTCATCTGAAATCGGGCCAGGTCCCTCCTGCTTGTATTTACAGATATTAGTTTCATTATGTCAACAATCAAAGATTTTCCATCTATCATGATATACAGGAGACATTGAGTATTCAACATGTGTGTCTATATCTGTCTGTCAGCTTGTCCATTCATTAGTGCTTTCTCCCTGACTGTGTTGCTGACAACATATACTACCTGGTTACCTTGATTTACAAATGTACATCTCTGTATTTGATATTGCTTCAGGAGAACCATTTTCATTATCTGCCAATCCTGCTCAGCGGAGGAAACAGCATGGCATTAGTCCTGAGTCACAACGGGATAATATAGACATAGAGGAACATACTTTAGGAGGGGCACCCTCTGTGGGCATCCAGTGGAAACGCATACTGTTGCTTATTATAGCAATAACTATACACAACATTCCAGGTAAGTGTTAAACTGTAAGCTGTACACAATATTCTCTGTAACAATAAACAACATTATACTTCATCTTTCTAACAGTGTCACTGACTGGTTAAAAAAGCAAGATAAAGCATTATATTTTCCTAAGGAAATAAAACATTGAATTTCCCTGCCGAAATAAAATTTTGTTTTTTTTTCTGGGATTATGTGCCTCCATGGTAAACTTGCATGTTATTTTCAAGGAGTTGTCACCCTTCTATTTGTTTACATAATAGACAGACTAGTAAACAGGAAAGTAATGCTACACATAAATGTGTGAGTGTTTACAATATTACAATATTCCCTGTAATTGTACAAGGTATTACATTATTTCCTGTAATTGTGTAAGTGTATAAAATATGAAAATATTCCCTGTAATGGTGTAAGAAATTGTATGAAAAATAACAATATTTCCTGTATATATGTAAGTTTATAAAATATTACAACATTCCCTGTTATCTCATGAGTATATCTAATATAACAACATTCCCTGTAATAATATATTAACATTTGATATTCCATGAAGCGTGTGTACTGCACATGGACACCATGACCATCATTTGTAGGAGTTGCTTCCCTTTGACCACTACTTTTGTGTTTGTTTTACAGAAGGTCTTGCTGTTGGAGTAGGATTTGGTGCTATAGGAAAATCTCCATCTGCTACATTTGAAAATGCCAGGTGAGGTGTAACATATCCTACCTAATTCAAGTAGCATTTCTGTCCCAGAGTTAGGAAGGTATCCTACATCTTTCATGCAAACAAGAATTCCTTCCACATCCCTTATATGTTTTTTACATGTTGGATCTCTTACATCCTGTCTCTGGTCTCTCCTATCCCGTCTCTGATCTCCGTATCCCATTTCTTATATCTTGTTTCTCATCTCGGATCTTTTGTATCCCATCTCTAATCTCTGGTACCCTGTTTCTGATCTAAATTCTTTCGTTATGTCACTGCTCACTTGCATCCAATCTCTTATTTCTCATATCTGGTCTTTGACTGTTTATGTCCTTCCATGATCTCTTATATCCTGTTGCTGATCACTTATATCCCATTTCTGATCTCTCATATTCTGTCTCTGATCTCTTGTATCTTGTCTCTGATCTCTCACTTCACATTTCACCCACTGACATTCAACTCGGTACACACCATTCTATACTTTCTTTATCACTTTCACTTTCCTTGACATTGGAGCACCAATTCTGACCAAACTTTCCTAAGTATTTTTGAATCAGCATTTTGTATAACAGTAATAGATGAAATAATCACACTTGATTTCAATTTTTTTATTTCAGAAATTTAGCTGTGGGAATAGGTATACAGAATTTCCCCGAGGGACTAGCTGTCAGCTTACCATTACGTGGTTCTGGCATGTCAGTTTGGAAAAGTTTCTGGTAAGTTTTTTCCGTCACCGCAAACTTTTCTTGGGTGTGAATAGAGTCCTTCTGTACCATAGTTAGGAATATTGAATTAAATTCCTTCCCTTTAAGAGGAGCATACTCCTTTTGTAGAAATAAGTGATTGTGGTGGAGGGGGCGGCAGTAGGGGTGAAGGTGGTGGTGGCAGCAGTGGTGCTAGTGGTGGCATAGTAGTAGCAGTACTAGTTGTAGTGTTGGTAGTAATAAAAATCACTTGATATGTAAGTGTTTTGATAAGATCATTATTTTGACTCTAATGTTCTAAAATAATCACAAATTCTTTCTTGGCTGCTTGACAGGATACTGGGGTCAAATAATGAGGTGAAGTTTGACCACCAAAGTATGGACAGTATACTGGGGTCAAATAATGGGGTGAAGTTTGACCACCAAAGTATGGACAGGATACTGGGGTCAAATAATGGGGTGAAGTTTGACCACCAAAGTATGGACAAGATACTGGGGTCAAATAATGGGGTGAAGTTTGACCACCAAAGTATGGACAGGATACTGGGGTCAAATAATGGGGTGAAGTTTGACCACCAAAGTATGGACAGGATACTGGGGTCAAATAATGAGGTGAAGTTTGACCACCAAAGTATGGACAAGATACTGGGGTCAAATAATGGGGTGAAGTTTGACCACCAAAGTATGGACAGGATACTGGGGTCAAATAATGAGGTGAAGTTTGACCACCAAAGTATGGACAGGATACTGGGGTCAAATAATGGGGTGAAGTTTGACCACCAAAGTATGGACAGGATACTGGGGTCAAATAATGAGGTGAAGTTTGACCACCAAAGTATGGACAGGATACTGGGGTCAAATAATGAGGTGAAGTTTGACCACCAAAGTATGGACAGGATACTGGGGTCAAATAATGAGGTGAAGTTTGACCACCAAAGTATGGACAGGATACTGGGGTCAAATAATGAGGTGAAGTTTGACCACCAAAGTATGGACGGGATACTGGGGTCAAATAATGAGGTGAAGTTTGACCACCAAAGTATGGACGGGATACTGGGGTCAAATAATGAGGTGAAGTTTGACCACCAAAGTATGGACGGGATACTGGGGTCAAATAATGAGGTGAAGTTTGACCACCAAAGTATGGACAGGATACTGGGGTCAAATAATGTGGTGAAGTTTGACCACCAAAGTATGGACGGGATACTGGGGTCAAATAATGAGGTGAAGTTTGACCACCAAAGTATGGACGGGATACTGGGGTCAAATAATGAGGTGAAGTTTGACCACCAAAGTATGGACAGGATACTGGGGTCAAATAATGAGGTGAAGTTTGACCACCAAAGTATGGACAGGATACTGGGGTCAAATAATGAGGTGAAGTTTGACCACCAAAGTATGGACAGGATACTGGGGTCAAATAATGAGGTGAAGTTTGACCACCAAAGTATGGACAGGATACTGGGGTCAAATAATGAGGTGAAGTTTGACCACCAAAGTATGGACAGGATACTGGGGTCAAATAATGAGGTGAAGTTTGACCACCAAAGTATGGACAGGATACTGGGGTCAAATAATGAGGTGAAGTTTAACCACCAAGGTATGGACAGTATATTGGAGTTAAACAAGGATGTAAACTTTGACCTCTGAGGCTTGGAGTGTTATCTTGGATCTTTATGGACAAATTACATGTTAAATGTATATGATGGAAATATAATGTCCACTTTGGGTAAAGTAATCATGTCAGTTTTTTACCTTTAGGTATGGACAGCTTAGTGGGATGGTGGAACCAATAGCAGGCCTGTTTGGAGTGGTGGCTGTATCCATAGCAGAGCCAATTCTACCTTATTCTCTGGCCTTTGCTGCTGGAGCTATGATATATGTTGTTGTTGATGATATCATACCTGAGGCACAAACTTGGTAAGTAGATCTGGAGTGTTGGTTTGTGGTACTTAACCTGCTAGCGTGGGATCTGTGACTTCAGACTGTTGATCTCTGATGTCTACTAGCTGGCTGCAGACTGTTGATCTCTGATGTCTACTATCTGGTTACAGACTGTTGATCTCTGATGTCTACTAGCTGGCTACAGACTGTTGATCTCTGATGTCTACTAGCTGGCTACAGACTGTTGATCTCTGATGTCTACTAGCTGGCTACAGACTGTTGATCTCTGATGTCTACCAGCTGGCTACACACTGTTGATCTCTGATGTCTACTAGCTGGCTACAGACTGTTGATCTCTGATGTCTACTAGCTAGCTACAGATTGTTGATCTCTGATGTCTACTAGCTAGCTACAGATTGTTGATCTCTGATGTCTACTAGCTAGCTACAGATTGTTGATCTCTGATGTCTACTAGCTAGCTACAGATTGTTGATCTCTGATGTCTACTAGCTGGCTACAGACTGTTGATCTCTGATGTCTACTAGCTGACTACAGACTGTTGATCTCTGATGTCTACTATCTGGCTACAGACTGTTGATCTCTGATGTCTACTAGCTAGCTACAGATTGTTGATCTCTGATGTCTACTAGCTAGCTACAGATTGTTGATCTCTGATGTCTACTAGCTGGCTACAGACTGTTGATCTCTGATGTCTACCAGCTGGCTACACACTGTTGATCTCTGATGTCTACTAGCTAGCTACAGACTGTTGATCTCTGATGTCTACTAGCTGGCTACAGACTGTTGATCTCTGATGTCTACCAGCTGGCTACACACTGTTGATCTCTGATGTCTATTAGCTGGCTACAGACTGTTGATCTCTGATGTCTACTAGCTAGCTACAGACTGTTGATCTCTGATGTCTACTAGCTGGCTGCAGACTGTTGATCTCTGATGTCTACTAGCTAGCTACAGACTGTTGATCTCTGATGTCTACTAGCTAGCTACAGATTGTTGATCTCTGATGTCTACTAGCTAGCTACAGACTGTTGATCTCTGATGTCTACTAGCTAGCTACAGACTGTTGATCTCTGATGTCTACTAGCTGGCTACAGACTGTTGATCTCTGATGTCTACTAGCTGACTACAGACTGTTGATCTCTGATGTCTAATATCTGGCTACAGACTGTTGATCTCTGATGTCTACCAGCTGACTACACACTGGTGATCTCTGATATCTCCTATCTGGCTACAGACTGTTGATCTCTGATGTCTACTAGCTGGCTACAGACTGTTGATCTTTGAAGTCTATTAGCTGGCTACAGACTGTTGATCTCTGATGTCTACTAGCTGGCTACAGACTGTTGATCTCTGATGTCTACCAGCTGGCTACATACTGTTTATCTCTGATGTCTACTAGCTGGCTACACACTGTTGATCTCTGATGTCTATTAGCTGGCTACAGACTGTTGATCTCTGATGTCTACTATCTGGCTACACACTGTTGATCTCTGATGTCTACTATCTGGCTACACACTGTTGATCTCTGATGTCTACTAGCTGGCTATAGACTGTTGATCTCTGATGTCTATTAGCTGGCTACAGACTGTTGATCTCTGATGTCTACTATCTGGCTACAGACTGTTGATCTCTGATGTCTACTATCTGGCTACAGACTGTTGATCTCTGATGTCTACTATCTGGCTACAGACTGTTGATCTCTGATGTCTACTATCTGGCTACACACTGTTGATCTCTGATGTCTACTAGCTGGCTACACACTGTTGATCTCTGATGTCTACTAGCTGGCTATAGACTGTTGATCTCTGATGTCTACTAGCTGGCTACAGACTGTTGATCTCTGATGTCTATTAGCTGGCTACAGACTGTTGATCTCTGATGTCTACTATCTGGCTACAGACTGTTGATCTCTGATGTCTACTATCTGGCTACACACTGTTGATCTCTGATGTCTACTGGCTGGCTACACACTGTTGATCTCTGATGTCTACTAGCTGGCTATAGACTGTTGACCTCTGATATCTCCTATCTGGCTACAGAAATTGTAATCCATGATGTCTTCCAGCTGGCTACACACTAGTGATTTCTGATGTCTACTGACTGGCTACAGACTGTTAGTGATCTGTGGTGTTAACTTAATTTCTTTTTTAGGTTCCCATCAGTCCTTACTTATGCCTTTTTGATTTTGAGATTACCAGAAAACAAAATTGCTTCCAGTTAACCATCTTGGATATCAACAAGGAGAAATTTTCAACTGTCTCTTGAGAAATACAGGATGGATGTTTCTCGAATTTCACATGTAGGTGCCCCTTTGACTCTAGTTGTGCCCTTTGGATTTTGGGCTTGATATGGAAAACCAAATGACTGGCAGATGACCATTGTGGATTTGGTAGTTAAAGGTTATTATCTCTATTTTGAAAGGATTTTTCAAATTCCATATAATTAGAAAAAAAAGAAGGTCGAGAAAAGAAGCACAAATAAAAATGAAATAATGACGAGCCCCAGGATCCCTCTGGGATCTCCTGTCAATGTAAATGCAGTGATCTAATTGGTGAAGAGCAAGTGAATATCTCAAAACTTATTTTTCACTGGAGTGAAAATATTACTTATGTTTGAACCATGAGATTTCATATTTCACTTTGAAAGCGTAATAAAAGGTCATATATTTCGCTGCTGAAAATAGTGAAGTTGTCTCCCCTACCATGCTTCTTGGAGACTACAAATTAATGACCTAGGTTGTTTAGTTGGGGAGGCTTTAATACTAACCAATACTGATCAACTTGTTCGACAGAAAATGTTTAACTATGGTTATTATGTATATATACATATATACATATTTACCAGTATATATATATAAGTATTCTCAGTTGTACAAAAATATTCCTCGTTTTCATTACATTATTCTTATACTGAAATCTCACCAACTCAAACCAAATACAAATTGTCTGTGACAATGAAAGTTATCTGATACCATAAGGTGAAATAAGGTATAAGTTTAATTCAATATTAACTCAAAATCTTTGAAGTACAGCTACAATGTATATAAATCAGATTTGTTTTAACTGTATGAGCTCTTCTGGTTCATTCTTCTGACATCAGATATGAATAACAGGAGACAAAATCTTGTTGGAATTATTTGAAGTCCATTAACAGAACTGATAAACATGAAAATGCATGGCATAATTCCTGCTAAAGTGGCTATTCCACTGCCATCGGGTGGATATGAACAAAAACAGATGAAATAGAGGAAAATAATTAGAGAACTGATGTCTAATAAGCTTTCAAACATCCTGTAATATATCTCCAGAAGGAAGCTAGGTGGTAAACAGAGCCCTGTACCAGGAAGTATAAAACTTCTGAGGTCAGGTTTGCAAGCAGCCATCCTAGATATTGTAAACCTGTGGTATACAGAGCCCTGTACAAGGAAGTATTAAGATTCTGAGGTCAGTTTTCCAAGCAGCCATCATAGATATTGTCAACTTGTGGTATACAGAGTCCAGTAAAATGAAGTATTTGACCACAGAGGTCAGGTTTCCAAGCAGCCATCATAGATATTGTAAACTTGTGGTATACAGAGTCCAGTAAAATGAAGTATTTTACCACAGAGGTCAGGTTTCCAAGCAGCCATCATAGATATTGTAAACTTGTGGTATACAGAGTCCAGTAAAATGAAGTATTTGACCACAGAGGTCAGGTTTCCAAGCAGCCATCGTAGATATTGTAAACTTGTGGTATACAGAGTCCAGTAAAATGAAGTATTTGACCACAGAGGTCAGGTTTCCAAGCAGCCATCATAGATATTGTAAACTTGTGGTATACAGAGTCCAGTAAAATGAAGTATTTGACCACAGAGGTCAGGTTTCCAAGCAGCCATCATAGATATTGTAAACTTGTGGTATACAGAGTCCAGTAAAATGAAGTATTTGACCACAGAGGTCAGGTTTCCAAGCAGCCATCATAGATATTGTAAACCTGTGGTATACAGAGTCCAGTAAAATGAAGTATTTGACCACAGAGGTCAGGTTTCCAAGCAGCCATCATAGATATTGTAAACCTGTGGTATACAGAGCCCTGTACAAGGAAGTATTAAACTTCTGAGGTCAGTTTTCCAAGCAGCCATCATAGATATTGTAAACTTGTGGTAAACAGAGTCCTATAAAATGAAGTATTCGACAACAGAACTTCTATTCTATTGAGATTACCAACCTAAAGAAAATGTTTCAAAATGATTTAAGAACTATTTACAACAGTCAGCCAAGTAAGGAATTAAACTGCCTTCTTGGACTAGTAATTAATTCTACGGGCCTTAATTTTGAATCCGAGGAGGTGACTTAAAAGTGCAAAAATTGATTGAAAGAAATGGCACAAAGTTGATTGGGAAGTGCACTAGCCCAATAATTCAATGAAGTTCGTAAATTTCCTTTCTCTGATAATTTCAAAAGAAGTACCTCTATATATTCTGAACCATGCCATCATTTGGATAAATGAAAATGTGGCATGCAGGTTACAAGTCCACCAGATATAGCAGGGCCAAATAACGAATTTAACTGCATGGTTATGGCTGTTTTGTCCTTGGCCGTAAATTTAGGGACCTAGGAAGCCACAGAGAAAAGTCAAAATTTAAGATTTATGATTCCTGCATTGTTGGAATGTATTATAGAGTGCTGTGGGTATCATGTGCAACTTTCAGAAAATGTTTGCAATTTTGTTCTGATAGTAGAGAGTTTAAATACATTATGCTCTTGTTAAATTTAAGCAATACCATCTAGCTGTAGTTGATATCGAATTCTCACAAATACATGTGGAATTTTGAAATCACACAAATATTGTTTTTCTTTAAAAAAAACCATTTCACTTCAGAAATGATAGTAAAATTGCTTCATTATAATTATGCGTGGAAGTAGTTAGAGGATATTCAGTGTTTCCAAGCTTCCTGTGTAAGTGTTGTTGCGTAAGCCCTGAGAACATTCCCTGCATTCTTCTGGTGTGTGGCTGACAGCTTACAACACTTCCTGCCCCTAACTAGAAACAGGAGGTGGAGACATGTGTCACTTTACAACACTTCCTGTCCATAGTCATGGCCAAAGTTTGGGGAGAAGCATCACTCTACAACACTTCCTGCCTTGGTTAAGACCAATGTGTAGGGCAAGTGTCACTCTACAGCACTTCTAGTGCCTTGTCAGGACCATGGGATAGGGACATGTGTCACTCTACAACACTTCCTGTACATAGTCAGGACCATGGGATAGGGACATGTGTCACTCTACAACACTTCCTGTACATAGTCAGGACCACGGGATAGGGACATGTGTCATTCTACAACACTTCCTGTCCTTAGTCAGGACCCCAGGATAGGGACATGTGTCACTCTACAACACTTCCTGTACATAGTCAGGACCACGGGATAGGGACATGTGTCATTCTACAACACTTCCTGTACATAGTCACGACCCCGGGATAGAGACATGTGTCACTCTACAACACTTCCTGTATATAGTCAGGACCACGGGATAGGGACATGTGTCATTCTACAACACTTCCTGTATATAGTCAGGACCCCAGGATAGGGACATGTGTCACTCTACAACACATCCTTTCCATTGTCAGGACCCTGGGATAGGGACATATGTCGCTCTACATCACTTCCTGTCCTTAGTCAGGACCCCGGGATAAGGACATGTGTCACTCTACAACACTTCCTGTGCATAGTTAGGACCTCGGGATGACATGTGTCACTCTACATCACTTCCTGTCCATAGTCAGGACCCCGGGATAGGGACATGTGTCACTCTACAACACTTCTTTTCCATTGTCAGGACTACGAGTTAGTGACATGTGTCACTCTACAACACTTCCTGTCCATTGTCAGGACTGCGGGATAGGGACATGCGTCACTCTACAACACTTCCTGTCCATTGTCAGGACCATGAGTTAGTGACATGTGTCACTTTATGTTGTTTCATTACAATGTGCAGAATCATGTCTTGACGACTCCTGTGGTTTGAATCAGGTAGAACAGTGAATTAAAGGCTTTGTTTAGAGTTTTTAGGCCCTGAATTTGAGTTTTAGTTCTTTGTGTACACATACATGTACATGTATGTAGTTACTTGATGGGTCTCATCTCCGTTAACCAGGGAAACTATTGAACTATAGAGTTTGCTTAGGTTTAATTTGGAAGCACAGCGTTTGAGTTACAATCCAAAAATATTCCTTCTTTTGTTTAACTGTCAGCAGTGACAGATCCAAGGTTTATGTTTCGTGTTGAACATGGATTTTATTTGATAACACTTTGTAAATGACTATTATACTGATTAATTCTGTCTATTTTTACAGTGGAAATGGCCGTCTATCAACCTGGGGAGCTGTCGTAGGATTTGTTGTGATGATGTCATTGGATGTAGGTTTGGGATAGGAGCAAATGGAAGGAAGTGTTTTTGGATAAGGACTCAAATTAACTGTAAGTGTTTGTTTAAAAAAATATTCTCACTAGTTTGAATGAGTGTTGGTTTTGGACAAGGTTAAACTCAGTGTTGACTTGTTTTGATTAAATAAAGAAGGAGATGAGGAGTAACTCCTGAAGTCTAGTTTCCAAAGGGTATATCCTATTGTTTAAGCCTAAAGCAGGCTGTCATCAGGACACATATGGAGGTCCCATGATTACAATAGATTTTGACATTATCAATATATTTTACCAAAGAAGTAGTTAAGGATCACAGGCATAGCTCAATTGTAATTGACTGTTTTGGTCATTTTAAGAATAACTTGTTTTCATTCAATTAATTGTCGACTTGTTAAGGTTTAGTTAAGTGTTAAATTGATATGGTTGAATAAAGTGGTGACTTTTTTGTTGAATTAAGTGTAGACTTGTTAAATTGGGCGTTGATTTGTCTTCATTTAATTAATTGTTATATTGGTTAATTTGAATGTTGATTTGATTTTGTTGAATGAAGTGTTGACTGTAACATGGTAATCAGTAGAAGTATTGGTATGGGGTGACAAGGTTTGTGTCAGTAGAAGTATTGGTATGGGGTGACAAGGTTTGTGTCAGTAGAAGTATTGGTGTGGGGTGACAAGGTTTGTGTCAGTAGAAGTATTGGTGTGGGGTGACAAGGTTTGTGTCAGTAGAAGTATTGGTGTGGGGTGACAAGGTTTGTGTCAGTAGAAGTATTGGTATGGGGTGACAAGGTTTGTGTCAGTAGAAGTATTGGTATGGGGTGACAAGGTTTGTGTCAGTAGAAGTATTGGTATGGGGTGACAAGGTTTGTCAGTAGAAGTATTGGTATGGGGTGACAAGGTTTGTCATTAGAAGTAGTGGTATGGGGTGACAAGGTTTGTGTGCGTAGTAGAAGACGTATGAAGTCCAAACAAATTTGTCAGTAGAAGTATTGGTATGGGGTGACAAGGTTTGTGTCAGTAGAAGTATTGGTATGGTATGGGGTGACAAGGTTTGTCAGTAGAAGTATTGGTGTGGGGTGACAAGGTTTGTCAGTAGAAGTATTGGTATGGGGTGACAAGGTTTGTCAGTAGAAGTACTGGTATGGGGTGACAGGGTTTGTCAGTAGAAGTATTGGTATGGGGTGACAAGGTTTGTGTCAGTAGTAGTTTTGGTCTGGGGTGACAAGGTTTGTCAGTAGAAGTGGTATGGGGTGACAAGGTTTGTCAGTAGAAGTATTGGTATGGGGTGACAAGGTTTGTGTCAGTAGAAGTATTGGTATGGGGTGACAAGGTTTGTCAGTAGAAGTACTGGTATGGGGTGACAAGGTTTGTCAGTAGAAGTATTGGTATGGGGTGACAGTAGAAGTATTGGTATGGGGTGACAGGGATTGTCAGTAGAAGTATTGGTATGGGGTGACAAGGTTTGTCAGTAGAAGTACTGGTATAGGGTGACAGGGTTTGTCAGTCGAAGTATTGGTATGTGGTGACAAGGTTTGTGTCAGTAGAAGTACTGGTATGGGGTGACAAGGTTTGTGTCAGTAGAAGTATTGGTATGGGGTGACAAGGTTTGTCAGTAGAAGTATTGGTATGGGGTGACAAGGTTTGTGTCAGTAGAAGTATTGGTATGGGGTGACAAGGTTTGTGTCAGTAGAAGTATTGGTGTGGGGTGACAAGGTTTGTCAGTAGAAGTATTGGTATGGGGTGACAAGGTTTGTCAGTAGAAGTACTGGTATGGGGTGACAGGGTTTGTCAGTAGAAGTATTGGTATGGGGTGACAAGGTTTGTCAGTAGAAGTATTGGTATGGGGTGACAAGGTTTGTGTCAGTAGAAGTATTGGTATGGGGTGACAAGGTTTGTCAGTAGAAGTACTGGTATGGGGTGACAAGGTTTGTCAGTAGAAGTATTGGTATGGGGTGACAAGGTTTGTGTCAGTAGAAGTATTGGTATGGGGTGACAAGGTTTGTGTCAGTAGAAGTATTGGTATGGGGTGACAGGGTTTGTCAGTAGAAGTATTGGTATGGGGTGACAAGGTTTGTCAGTAGAAGTATTGGTATGGGGTGACAAGGTTTGTGTCAGTAGAAGTACTGGTATGGGGTGACAGGGTTTGTCAGTAGAAGTATTGGTATGGGGTGACAAGGTTTGTCAGTAGAAGTATTGGTATGGGGTGACAAGGTTTGTCAGTAGAAGTATTGGTATGGGGTGACAAGGTTTGTCAGTAGAAGTACTGGTATGGGGTGACAAGGTTTGTCAGTAGAAGTATTGGTATGGGGTGACAAGGTTTGTGTCAGTAGAAGTACTGGTATGGGGTGACAAGGTTTGTCAGTAGAAGTATTGGTATGGGGTGACAAGGTTTGTCAGTAGAAGTATTGGTATGGGTGACAAGGTTTGTCAGTAGAAGTATTGTAGTATTGGTATGGGGTGACAAGTTTGTTAGAAGTGTGGTATGGGGTGACAAGTTTGTCAGTAGAAGTATTGGTATGGGGTGACAAGGTTTGTCAGTAGAAGTATTGGTATGGGGTGACAAGGTTTGTGTCAGTAGAAGTATTTGGGTGTGGGGTGACAAGGTTTGTTTGTCAGTAGAAGTATTGGTATGGGGTGACAAGGTTTGTCAGTAGAAGTATTGGTATGGGGTGACAAGGTTTGTCAGTAGAAGTATTGGTATGGGGTGACAAGGTTTGTGTCAGTAGAAGTACTGGTATGGGGTGACAGGGTTTGTCAGTAGAAGTATTGGTATGGGGTGACAAGGTTTGTCAGTAGAAGTATTGGTATGGGGTGACAAGGTTTGTCAGTAGAAGTATTGGTATGGGGTGACAAGGTTTGTCAGTAGAAGTATTGGTATGGGGTGACAAGGTTTGTCAGTAGAAGTATTGGTATGGGGTGACAAGGTTTGTCAGTAGAAGTATTGGTATGGGGTGACAAGGTTTGTGTCAGTAGAAGTATTGGTATGGGGTGACAAGGTTTGTCAGTAGAAGTATTGGTATGGGGTGACAAGGTTTGTCAGTAGAAGTATTGGTGTGGGGTGACAAGGTTTGTCAGTAGAAGTATTGGTGTGGGGTGACAAGGTTTGTCAGTAGAAGTATTGGTATGGGGTGACAAGGTTTGTGTCAGTAGAAGTATTGGTATGGGGTGACAAGGTTTGTCAGTAGAAGTATTGGTATGGGGTGACAAGGTTTGTCAGTAGAAGTATTGGTGTGGGGTGACAAGGTTTGTCAGTAGAAGTATTGGTATGGGTGACAAGGTTTGTCAGTAGAAGTACATTAGAAGTATTGGTATGGGGTGACAAGGTTTGTCAGTAGAAGTATTGGTATGGGGTGACAAGGTTTGTGTCAGTAGAAGTATTGGTATGGGGTGACAAGGTTTGTCAGTAGAAGTATTGGTATGGGGTGACAAGGTTTGTGTCAGTAGAAGTATTGGTATGGGGTGACAAGGTTTGTCAGTAGAAGTATTGGTATGGGGTGACAAGGTTTGTCAGTAGAAGTATTGGTATGGGGTGACAAGGTTTGTCAGTAGAAGTATTGGTATGGGGTGACAAGGTTTGTCAGTAGAAGTATTGGTATGGGGTGACAAGGTTTGTGTCAGTAGAAGTATTGGTATGGGGTGACAAGGTTTGTCAGTAGAAGTATTGGTATGGGGTGACAAGGTTTGTCAGTAGAAGTATTGGTGTGGGGTGACAAGGTTTGTGTCAGTAGAAGTATTGGTATGTGGTGACAAGGTTTATGTCAGTAGAAGTATTGGTGTGGGGTGACAAGGTTTGTGTCAGTAGAAGTATTGGTGTGGGGTGACAGGGTTTGTGTCAGTAGAAGTATTGGTATGGGGTGACAAGGTTTGTCAGTAGAAGTATTGGTGTGGGGTGGCAAGGTTTGTCAGTAGAAGTATTGGTGTGGGGTGACAAGGTTTGTCAGTAGAAGTATTGGTGTGGGGTGACAAGGTTTGTCAGTAGAAGTATTATTAGGAATATGATTATAGATCTTCTTAGCAAAGAAATTAAAGCAGAAAAGGTTACAGGGTTTGTTAACAAGTGTGTCAGTAGTGAAAGTGTTGAACTCCTGCCAGGAAATGACATTATTCTATCATTTCATATTCATATCCATGCAGTGTTGGTTGGCAGTTTGTTTGATGAAATGGAAATGTTTCATTGATAGTGTCCGGTATTAGATGTGTATATGCTATTTAAGACCATAGCGATCTATACCTGTCGCCACTGTTTCTAATTCTGTCCACTGTTTAATTTGCCTTTAGACTGTTGATGCGTCTTCCTCGCACCTGTTCCTTACTTTTAGATTACCTGAGGCAATGAAATTGACTTACCTGTGACAGGTGAGGTGATAAGTCAGATATATACCTGACAATACACAGTAATGGTCTCCCCTATATGTGTTTCCCTAACTTGCTATTGGGATATCATCTTCCTCAATGTTTTTTGCATTTGTTTTTTGTTTTATATGTTAAAAGTTCTAGACAGGTGTTGGAAATTTAGAAGAATTCATGGATTCACCTGCACTATAAGTTACTGGTTATATACAACATGTAGTAGACATTTGGTTAGACATGATCCCTACCTATATATGTTTACACATCAACACAAGCCTTGTAAAATTAACAGAGGTGTGAACTAATGTCTGCACCTTTATCAGCCCAATGTCTGGTTGGCTTCTAGTCAAACTCTGACTAGAGCTCAGTCTGCAACCTCCCTGACTGGTTCTGAAACAAGTCTGTATCCCCCTGACTGGTGCTGAGACATGTCTGTATCCCCTTGACTGGTGCTGAGACATGTCTGTATCCCCCTGACTGGTGTTTAGACATGTCTGTATCCCCATGACTGGTGTTTAGACATGTCTGTATCCCCCTGACTGGTGCTGAGACAAGTCTGTATCCCCCTGACTGGTGCTGAGACATGTCTGTATCCCCCTGACTGGTGTTTAGACATGTCTGTATCCCCATGACTGGTGTTTAGACATGTCTGTATCCCCTTGACTGGTGCTGAGACATGTCTGTATCCCCCTGACTGGTGTTTAGACATGT